CGACAATGTTCATAGGGGCTTTTTAAATAACTAAATATTTGTAATGCATTCTACAGATATGCATGGATTTCATTTGAATGCCGGCAGCCTGTCAAGTCGGATGTTCCCAGTAATCCTCTCTGTCTGTCACTGGTCCAGCACCTTAAAACCTGGTTTGGGTCTGAGCTTCCAGGAGAGCTACGGGAGCACCGGGTCGGCTGTGCCTCCCTTTTCTTGCAAAGTTACTTTCAATCCATCATTTGTTTCAGCACATCTTGCCATAAAACTGATTTATGCCTGAGGTGGAGTAGGACATGATGTGTGTGGGGGGGTTCCTTCACTTTGTATCCCAGTCTTTTCTAAGCGGACGGTCCGTCCGTCCGTCCCAGCTGCATGCAGAGTGGTGGTCGTCATGCCAGGCCTCGTGAAATGTTTGATACTGATGTTTTGCTACCATGTGAAGGCTGCAGAAACTGTCCTTACCTGCATCCTAAAAGACTTTTGTATTTCAGTATTATCTCTCTGTGTACTTTTTGTCAGATTTGTTAATATTTATAACGAGAACCCAAAATAAAAAGGGAAAAAAAAAAGAAAAAAAGGTCGATGCCGGCAGTGCAGCTTTTGAGTCTCCCCAGGTCGGTACCACAGTCCTGGGGGTGCGTGAGCTCGGCACGTCACGGCGCATCTCCGATGGAGCACCGAGTGACCCAGAGACACGAGATGAAGAGCTGGGTCCTGGCGAGGGCTCGGGGAGCAGAAGATGGTTTTAAACCAGAGGATCGGGTGCTGCTTGGCTTTATTCTCCTCCACTCTCCAATCTCTTGCCTCCCAAAAAAAAACCCAAAAAAAACGTAACTGCACTGGCTCCACGTCCCCCGCTTTCACCGGGGACCCCGCTCTGCCTCAGCCGGGTGCTGTGACGTTCACACAGGGCCTGTAAGCACCGGCGGTGGAGGGTGGGAGGGAGATTAGTCAAGGCAGGATTAAAAAAAAAAAACCACACAAACTCTAGCCTTTCTGAAATTTCCATTAACTTCACTATTCAGTGGCATTAGCAGAAGGGTGTTAGAGACGCCCCGAGCGGTGCCCGTGGCTGAGCCAGGGCAGTCTCTGCACGGATTTTGCCCCCTCGGATGCTGTGACCGTCCTCCCCAGGGCAAAGGTGCAGATACCCCTCCCTGGCCTGGGAGGGAGCTGAGGTGCCGCCCGCCCCCACTCCCTGCGGCTGCTCCAGCTGTGCCCTTTAATGTGTATTTTCCTCGCTGTAGGTTTGGATTGATTGAACGTATGGTGTCAGAGGTTAATATTCAGGCAGCGAGCGGCTGGGCTGCTCACCGGTGCTGAAGGCAATCCCCTCCTTGGAGGCTGCCATTTCCCATGGGACGCCCCGACGGTGTTAGCACCCACCTCGCCCTCCATCATCGCCTCAGCCTGGACCGTTGCATTGAAATTAAAAAACAAACAACCTGCCGATGGTCCCTGCACGTTACACCGCTGCAGGCTACAGCAGCGTGTGAAGGTGGCACGGGCAGACACTGCGCTTCCCTGCCGCTCAGCCCAAATATGCATGAGTATGGCCCAAACTGAGCTTCCCTCATAGACAGACAGACAGACAGACACTTTACATATATATCCCCCTACACCGATACAAATATTTTTATATATAGCTACACTCCCATTATATACTCATGTGCACATATATATATATATACACACACACACACACACACACGTGTGTATATAGGTGAATGAGTTGATTAA